TTGATTCACGTGGATTATGAACTCCCGCTTTTACCCCGTATACAAATTGCTGTATCACATCAGTTTCCCTTCCATTGATTGACATATTGCCTTTCTAGTTTCTGATGTATTCTGCTGTCTGTCCAATTAAAAATGTGTTTCAAGCCATTGGGATTAACCTATGTATTATACTTAATTTTCCTATCTATTCTGGGAGTTTTTCCATTAGTTTTCTTGAGTGTAGGTATTTAATCACATTGGCTATGTAAAACTATATCTTTCTATCTAATAGTTATTGCTCTTATTTCGGCTTCATGTCTTATTGCACTGGTTGGCACTACCAGAGTAATGTTAAAATGAAACAGTGAAAGTGGGATTCTTTTTTTGTTATTGATAATTTAATGGGAGAAACCATTATTATTTAGTCAAATTTTAAAAATTATGTTAAGGAAGTATTCCATCCATTTCTAGTTTTCTGAGTTCTTAAAAAATCATGAATAGGTGTTGAATTTTATGAAATTCATTTTGGTATCTATTGAATGGACACCAATAATTTTGATCCAGATTCATAATTGGGAAGTGAAATAAAAATTTATAGTTAACTATAACTATAAATGTGGTTCAATTGGTACTTTTCTTTTTCCAGCAATACCCAGAGCTTGCTTTCAAAGTAACATGTGGGTGGTAGAGACAGCTAAGAGTTAATTCTAATAATGTGTTGCACAAATTTTTGTATATTGTTGCCATTCATTAAATTGTTGTTGTTAGTTATGAAAGTTGTAACCCACAAAGACATTAGAAATGTCAAAGCTTTGGCTGAAATGTTTTCTCTGATATGCAGATGCTAATGCACAATAAAGGGGGGGGTATAGGGAAGAATAGAGTTACTTTGGATTAGACAGAGGGGAGTGAAGGGGGAGGGAAGGGTGTATGGGGGTGGGAAGGATAGTGGAATGAATTGGACATTATTACCCTATGTACATATATGCCTACGCGACCCGTGTGATTCTACATCATGTACAACCAGAAGAATGAGAAGTTATACTCCATTTATGTATGATATGTCAAAACTCATTCTACGGTCATGTATAACTAATTAGAACAAAAACAGAAATGTTAAAGGTTTGGATTATTTTCATATATGGCACACATGAGCAATTGGAAAAGAATTTATATTATTCTTTTATGTTGCTAAAAACCAGCAGAAGGATAATGATTTGACATCGACTTGATATTGAGTAGTTTTAGTTAAGAATTGACTTTGGAAATGGTCCTTTTTCATATTTTTATTACCAAACATTTTTTAAAAATATTTTTTAGTTGTAGATGGACACAATACCTTTACTTATTTATCTTTATGTGGCGCTGAGGATCGAACCCAGGGCCTTGCATGTGCTAGGCGAGTGCTCTACCACTGAGCCACAACCCCAGCCCCACCAAAATTTGTAAGGAATGAGGGTCATTAAATCTATGAAAGGTAGGGCTATATTCAGCTTGTTTTTAAATTTAATTAAATTTTGTATTTATACATACACACATACATACATACATACATACATACTGAGGATTGCACCCAGGGTCACTCTACTGCTGAGCTATATCCCCAGCCCCTCCATTTCAAAATTTTATTTTGAGATAGGTTCTCACTAAGTTGCCCAGGCTGGCCTAAAACTTGTGATTCTCCTATTTCAGCCTCCCATATAGCTAGGATTACAAGCATGTACCATCACACTCAGCCAAGCTTTTTTGTTTGTTTGTTTGTTTTAAAGAAGAAGGGTGTTTTCATTTTTTCTAACAAGACTGATTTCTAATCACTGGATTTGATGGAATTGGTTTGTTATATCAGTTAGTAGATGAGAAAGGGAGAAATGACAGAGCATGGGTGAAGGCAATGATTGGGAAAAAGAAGTAATTTTTGCTTAAACCTCACAGAATTGGTATTAATAAGTTATAAGAATGTCAATAATGCTATGTAGTATAATATATAGTTAAAGTATAATAATTAAGAATATGGGTTTCATCTCTCCACTTACCATCTTGCCCCCATCTTCCTCATGTATAAAATAGAGAAATAGCAATATTTACTTCACAAGGGTAGTTGTGGTTATTACATGAATTTATACATGTAAAGATCTTAAAACAATGCCTGGCACATAATTTATTAAAAAAGCAAGAGCTATCATTGTCATCATTATCATTGTCATCATCTTCAATATAAGATGGAGGGGTTTGGGACTCAACCTGGATGCATTCTGAATTTTGGAGGATGAGAATAAATTATCCAAGGAGGAGACAGAATGAAGAAAGAGTTGTCCAACAATAAACATAGAAATATCAAATAATAGAGTGTTGTTTTGGAAGGTTGGAAGAGGAAATCTTTCTCAGTGTGGACAGATATGAAGTCCAGGGTGGAATTTTAGATTTCAGGAGTCTTTAGCTATGTCTAATTTATTTACAGAGTTTGAAGAAAGGATCATACTGAAGGTATAGGCAGCAGAGAAAATTGACTAACACGGTTGCCTCTGAGAATTTGGAAGGAGCAAAGGGTTGGACATGTCCATAGGCATCCCCATATCTATATCCTCAACTTCTTTTTCTCTTATAACATCTGGATTTCTAAGTCAGGCATGTTTCAAATGCTGTACTTTGTCATGAATACTATAACCATGTCATAAATTCCTTCCTCATCTATAAAACAAAATCCTCTACTCCTGACCATATGTTCCATATTCACTTTATTTTTTAAAGTCTATTACAGAAACCAATATTGATAATTCTGTTAGATGATGCAGTTAAATTTGGGGTGATTTTGTGGTGTAGTTGTTTTCCCTGAGAAGTGGGTTGTTTTTTTTTTCCCCAAGAGTTTTGTGATATTTCAATGTATTTAGTCAGGAAAAGGAAATTTTCCTTTGGTACAAAATTCATCTCCAAGAATGGCTATCAAATTAAAATGGGTGGTATGATCATTAAGATAGTTAAGTAAACTATTGGGCGTCACTGCCTACATAATGAATCTGAAATAAAGTATATCAAGATGCTTATATTTCTAGTTTCTAGCATTATTAATTATTAATTGAAACAAATTATTCTTAAATCTCAAAATCCAATGTTTCTAGCATTATTATTATTAATTGAAATAAGTTATCTTAAATTTTAAACCAAATCCAAATGAGAAAAATAACCTCTGCTGGACCACATTGAAGACAGATATTATTACTTCTAAATTCTGCTTTTTATAAAACATCATTAACTATCACCAAAAAATATTGGGGTTCACAATTTAGAAAATATTTTTTAAATGACCAAATATAACTTTAGAATTTGTTTTCAGACTTAATTTTTAAATGTAATCTTCTCAGCATAACTGGATTGTGAAAAAATATATTTTATCTACATCTACTAACGTCATACCTTCTAAACACACCACTCTAAATATTCAAAAAGAAAGGAACTGTTTGCAGAGAACTTCTGGTGAATGGCCTTAATTACAAATCAGTGTTAATGAGTTGAAGAGTATGTCATCATCTTCTGGGCCATTTCTCTTTCCCTCTCTCTCTGTTTCGTTATCAGGGATTGAACCCAGGGACACTTAACCAATGAACCAATTCCCAGTCCTTTTATTTTTTATTTTGAGACCGGGTCTTGCTAAATTGCTTAGGACCTTGCTAAGTTGTTAAGAATGGCTTTGAACTGTTGATCCTCTTGCCTAGCCTCCTGAAGCTGCTAGGATTGCAGGTGTGTGCCACCATTCCTGGCTTGGGCCAGTCCTCTCTTACTGTAATAATCTTGTGTATTAGCCACAATACCTCAGTGCTATATAGTAAACATTTCTTCTAGCATGTCTACAGATTAGCTGACCACTTCTGATGATCTTGGTAGACTTGATTTAGCAGTATTTTGGGTCTTGGCTGAGGTCACTCATGTGTCTGAAGCTCTGCTGGCTGCTGAATAATCTTGAACACCTTTGGCTAGGATGATGCAGCTCTGTTCCACATGGTGTTGGTTTTTTTTATTCAGCTAGCCTGGGCTTAGAGGTAGTGGTAGTTTTCCAAAAGAGAGATGCATAACAAGGCCTCCTGAGACCTGGACATGAAGTTAGTAGGTATTACTTCCCCCATATTCTTCAGGCCAATGCAAGTCATGAACCTGGACTAGGTTGAAGGGATGAAAAAATATGCTTAATGGGAGAAATGACTAAATCACATTTTAAAAGGCATGGGTAGAAGCTAGGATAGAGAATTGAGGCCACTTTTGTGATCAGTCTGTCACATCCCCTTTCATCTTTCTCTGCCTGAATTGTCTGGATGTCTGTTCTTGAGCTGACTGTTTTGTGGGTAATCTTGCAAGAAATGACTGTGGGTCTCAGTACCTACTAAAATGGGGAATGTAGGCAATCTGTTACTATACAGAAATATCTCTCAAAGAGGGCTTTGGACATTTCTGCTTATGGTTTGTCATTTAATTTTATTGCTTTGTTATCAAGAAAAAAAGAAAATCATGTAAGAAAATTTTTATGTGAAGGGAGAAGCAAATTAATTACAACTAAGTAAAATCCTCTCAAGTGTTTAATGAGAAAAATTGAATGTTGTAGTTTAATTTTTTGTAGCTCCTGAATAGCAGCAGATTTTTGAATAAAATACAATGAATTGTTGTGTTTTTAGCCCTGTTTGTAAAAACCTGAGATGAAAGAAGTGGGCAAAAAGTTTAGAGCTAGAGTTTCAGAGAATCAAAATACCTTGACTGACCAGTTTTTATGATGCTTCTCTTCCTTTGCACTGATTATAGACTCAGTACTTTGTCAAAACATTATCCCAGGAAGGGATAATGGTTATCTATGTGAATGTACCTATTGGTCTCAGAATCAGTCATTCCTCATGGTTATTTGTGGGATATCTTGATATTCGTAATATTTAACACCAGTGCCTTACATGGGCTAGGTATTCAAGAAGATTTTTATTACATGTAAGTATTGAAATGTTGATTTCCACTGTTCACCCACCTTTCTGTCTTTAATTTTCCAGAACTTGTAAGTCGGCTTTTTGAAAGCACCTTCCAGGATATCAAGGATAGACAGGAGTATGTAGGGTTGATAGATGTACCAGACTCTTATGAAGGCCCTCGCCTGGAATTTCCTCTCACTTTTACTGACATCAATCACCTTCTTGAGGCCTTTAAGCAACAACAGGCAAGTGGAAGCAGATTCTGCCTTGGTTTTTGTACAAAGCAGGTGCTCAGTGACCATCTATTGAATGAATGAATTTCCTACTGCATCAGAAATGTATTTCCTTGGGAAAATGTTTCATCTTATGTCAGAGTTACCTTCTACTTTGTTTAACCTACTAAATAGAAGTCTCCTCAGATGCATAGCAACCTCCTCTTGATCTGGATGTTTATAACATTTCCTTTTCTATTTTTGTGACATAATTCACATACCATAAAATTCACAGATTTAAAGTGTACAATTCAGTGATTTTTAGTACATTAACAAGGTTGTATAATCATTACCAAATCTAATTGAATAAAGTTCTCATCACCCCAAAAGAAAGGCCACACTGATTTGCCATTTCCTCCTCCTTCATCCAGGCAACCACTATTCTACTTTCTGTCTCTATGAATTTGCCTATTCTGGATATTTCATATAAGTGAAATTACATAATATATGGCTTTTTGTGTTTGGCTTTTTTCACTTAACAGTAATGATACAGAAATTTCTAAGGTTCATTCATGTCACAGCATGTATCATTACTTCATTTATTTTAATGGCTGAATAATATTGCATTGTATATCAGTTTGTTTACTGTGTTATCTGTGGATGAACATTGGATTGTTTTTATCTTTTGGTTATTATGAACAATGCTACTATGAACATTTATGTACAAATTTTTGTATGAATACATCTTCACTTCTCTTGGGTATATACCTAGAAGTAGAATTGTGGGATCATACGGTAACTCTTTGAGTAACCGCTAAACTGTTTTCTACAGTGGCCAAACAATTTTACATTCCCACCAGCAATGTATGAGTGTTCCAATTCTCCATGGTTTTGACAACACTTATTATTTTCATTTTTATTGTAGCTATCCTAATTGTGTGAAATAGCATCTCACTGAAGTTTTTAAAAAATATTTTTAGCTACAGATGGATAAAATATCTTTATTTCATTTGTTTTATGTGGTGCTGAGAATCAAACCCCATGCCTCACACATGCTAGGCAAGTGCTCTACCACTGAGCCACAACCCCAGCCCTTATTGTAGTTTTGATTTACGTTTCCTAATAGTGTTGAGCATTTTTCATGTATTTATTGGCTGTTTGTGTACCTCCTTTGGAGAAATGCTTATGTAGATCTTTCACCCATTTTAAAACCAGGTTGTCTTTTTTTTTTTATTGAGTTAATAAGAGTTCTGTCTGGATTTAAGTTCCTTATCAGATATATGATTTATGAATTTTTTCTTTTTTTTTTTTTTTAGAGAGAGAGAGAGAGAGAGAGAGAGAATATGAATTTTTAATATTTATTTTTTTTTAGTTCTCGGCAGACACAACATCTTTTGTTGGTATGTGGTGCTGAGGATCGAACCCGGGCCGCACGCATGCCAGGCGAGCGCGCTACCGCTTGAGCCACATCCCCAGCCCCTGAATTTTTTCTTTTTCCGTAGATTGTCTTTTCACTTTCTTGTTAATGGACTTTTTCTTTTTTGGTACCAGGGATTGAACCCAGAGGCACTTAACCACTGAGCCACATCCCAGCCCTTTTTTTCTTTTTTCTTTTGTACTTAGAGACAGGTTCTCACTGATTTGATTAGCGCCTCGCTTTTGCTGAGGTTGGCTTTGAACTCCCCTAGCCCTTTTATATTTTATTTAGAGACAGGATCTTGCTGAGTTGTTCAGTGCCTTGCTAAATTTCTGGGGCTGGCTTTTAACTCAGCCATTCTCCTCTTTCAGCCTCCCCAGCCACTGGGATTACAGGCATGTGCCACTGTGCCCAGCTGATAATGGACTTTGATGCACAAGAATTTTTATTTTAACAAAGTCCAGTTAATTAACTTTTCTCCTTTTGGTTGCTTATGCTTTTTTTGGTGTCGTCTGAGAATCCATTGTCAAATCCATGATCATGAAAATTTATTCCTGTATTTTCTTCTAAGAGTTTTATAGTTTTAGCTCTTATATTTAGGTCTATGAACCATTTTGCGTTAATTCCTATATAGCATGAGATAGGGGTCAAACTTCTTCATTCTTTGCATATGGTTATGCAGTTGTCCCAGCATCATTTGTTGAAGAGACTGTTCTTTTCCCATTGAGTGGTCTTGGCACTCTTGTTCAAAATCCATAAGCCATAGATATATGCATTTGTTTCTGGACTATCAATTCTATTTCATTGGTCTATGCATTTATCTTTTTTATTTATTTGTTTTTGTTTTTGTGTGTTGGTGGGAATCCAGCCCAAGTCTTCCTACATGCTAGGCAAGTACTTTACCACTGAGGTATATCCCCAGCCCCCTGTATGTCTGTCTTTATGCCAGTAGCATACTGTATTAGTTACTGTAGCTTTGTAGTAAGTTCACTTTTTTTCCCCCTAGCACACTGTATTAGTTACTGTAGCTTTGTAGTAAGTTTTCTTTTTTTTTCCCTCCTCCTCTTCTTCTTCTTTTTTTTCTTTTTCCTGTGGAGATACTGGGGATTGAACCCAGGAGCATTCTGCCTCTGTAGCTACATCCCAGCCCTTTTTAAAATTATTCTGAGACAGGGCCTGGCTAAGTTGCCCAGGCAGATCTTGAACTTGCTATTCTTCTGTCTCAGTCTCCCAAGTCAATGGGATTATAGGCATGTGCCACCATTTCCAGCAAGTTTTTTTTGTTTGTTTGTTTGCAGGACTAGGTATTGAACCCAGGGCCTTATGTGTGCTACGCAAGCACTCTACCACTAAGCTACATCCCTGACTATGTTGTAACCTTTGAAATAGGGAAATATGAGTTCTTCAGCTTTGTTCTTTCTTTTCAATTTTGTTTTGGTGGTTTAGGGTTCCTTGCAATGAATTTGAGGATTGAAAATTTTATTTCTGCAAAAAAGCCATTGAAATTTTGATAGGTATTGCATTAAATTCATAGGCAATACTTTGTTTGGGTAGTATTGCCATTTGACAATATTAAGTCTTCCAATTCATGAAAACAGGGTGTTTTCCCACTTATTTATGTCTCCCTTAATTTCTTTCAGCAATGTTTTTTAGTTTTCAGTGGACAAGTCTTTCACAACCTTGGTTAAATTTATTCTTAGGTATTTGGTTGACACTGTAGAAGAAATTGCTTTCTTGATTTTTTTTGCATTGTTTATGGCTTGCAGCTTCAATGAATTGATTTATCAGGTCAGATCTTTGGTTTGTGCAGATTCTTTGGGATATTTTCCATACAGGATCATGTCTTTTGTGGAGTTTTATTTTTCCTCCTTTCTGATCTGGATGCTTTTTATTTTGTGTGTAATTTCTCTGTCTAGAGCTTGTAGTACAATATTGAGTAGCAGTGATGAAAGTGGGAATGTTTGTCTTGTTCCTGTCTTAAAGGGAAATCTTTCTGTCTTTCACCATGGTGTTTGATGTTGTGGGTTTTTCATAAATGCCCTTTGTCATGCTGAAGAAGTTTCCTTCTAATTTTAGTTTCCTAAGTAATTTTATCATAAAAGGATTTTGAGTTTTAATTTTTTTTGTATGTGTGTTAGTTGAGATAATTGTATGTGTATGTGTGTGTGTGTTTTCCTTCATTTTCTAAATGTGGTATAATACACTGATTCATTTTCTTATTTTCAACCACCCTTATATTCCTGAGGTAAATCTCACTTGGTCATGGTTAATAATCTCTTTAAAATGCAGTTGAATTTGGTTTACTGGCATTTTATTGAAGATTTTTATATCTACATTTTTAAGAGATAATTGATCTGTAATTTTCTTTTAGTGTCTGTGTTTGGCTTTGATATCAGGGTAATAATGATTTCATAGAATGAGTTAGGTATTTTTCCCTCTTATTTGGTTTCTTTTTTGGGAGGAATTTGAGAAGGATTGGTGTTAATTTTTTTATTATAATTTTTCATTGGTGCATTATAGTTACACATTATAGTGGTTGTTATATATTTGTACATGCACACAATATAACTTGGTTAATTTTATTCTCCAGTATTTAATTCTTCTTTAACTGTTTAGTAGAGTTAATTAGTGTAGCCACCTGGACTTCAGCTTTTCTTTACTAGGTTTTTGATTACTGATCCAATCTCTTTACTTGTTGTAGGTCTGTGCAGATTTCCTATTTCTTCTTGAGTCTACTCTGGTAATTTGTGTATTTTTAAGAATTTGTCCATTTCATATAACTTATCTAATTTGTTAGTGTACAGTTGTTCATAGTATTCTGTTACAATCTTTTTTATTTATTTATTTATTTATTTTTGTACCAGGAATTGAACCAGGGGCTCTTAACCACTGAGCCAAATCCCCAGCCCTTTTTTATATTTTATTTTGAAACAGGGCCTTGCTGAGTTGCTTAGGGCCTCACTAAGTTGCTAAGGCTGGCTTTGAACTTTGAATCTTCCTGCCTCAGCCTCCTGAACTGCTGGGATCACAGGTGTGTGCCACCAAGCCCGGCTCTTTTGTAATTTCTGCTGCAGTCTGGCTGGGCACAAAATCACGAGCCACTCAAGCAGGAACAAACTTTATTTTTTGAAACTGCCGCCAATGCCCAATGCCCTGTACGCGCCCGCCGGGCCCGGGAAGATTGCCGATCCACTCATGCGGCCTTCTCCCGGAACCCCAGAGGAAGTTCCTCCCCCGGAATTCCCTCCTACTTCACTTCCCCAACCAATGGGAACTCTCCAGGAGTCCCCAGGAGTCCAATATCCATATGAAATGCAAATCTTAACATAATCATATCATCTCAATGGCTAGCTGGCCTTTCAACCAAAAATGCCATGCATCATATTACTTGGCTGTGGCTCTTAGCAATTTCTTTAAAGTTGATGGTAATAGCCTTATATTTGTTTCTGATTTTGGTTGTTTGCATTTTCTCTCTCTCTGCCCCACCCCTTTTTTTCAGTCTAGTCAAAGGTTTGTTAATTTTGTTGATATGAAGAACCAACTTTTGTTGATTCTCTTTTGTTTTTCTGCTCTGTTTCATTTATCCCTACTGTAATTCTTATTTTCTTCCTTCTAC